ATCTAATATTTTTGAGAATTAGAATTGAAAATTTGCAATTCTGAGATGGCTCTATGCCTTAACTTATAAGTAGATAGTATTGAAACTCATTGTTGTAATTGGAGTTCTTTATTTCGGTAGCAATCTCTGAAAATCCTTTTCTATTAGACAAACCACAAGCTCTTTGAAAAGGTTATTTGTGTCACCTGAGTCAAATTAAGATATCATTTAAATGATTTAATTGAAAATGCAATGTTACAGGGCATTTAACCTGTTAACAGATTAGGCTTTTCTGTTTTGTTTCTTTAGGGTTTTGTAAGGTGAGCTGAGGAAAGAGTGCCATATGTAAAAAATGTTTTGTAACGTCTGTTTGTACTTTACAAGTTTGTTTTGTTTTGGTTTTTAGGGTTTTTTTTGGTTTTGGGGGGGTATTTTTGGATAATGAATGAACTCTACTGGAAGCTACTTGTAGAGCTTTCTTGGGATATTTATGACCTGTGTACCTTTTAGGGTCCATAAACAAGCAAAAACCCAATAATCAAGCTTAAAACTCAGTAGGTTAGCCTGGAAATTTCTTAGTTTCTTGTGATAAGTTTTTCCCTATCTCTTAGGTCATCATCTAGACACTATCTGCCATCCAATGAGACCAGGCTAGATTAAGGAAATTAGGAAGTAGACCTTGGAAAGGGACAGGGCTATCGGTGAAGAGATCAGTACTCATTACATAAATTAACTTTGACCTTAGTTGGATATCGTGCATCTAGTCAAGTAACAGAGTATTTTCATTCTAAGTGAAATCTTGCAGACTCCTTTCCTTTTTCACTTGATACTTTGAAAACTAAAAGCAGTAGAAACATCTTTTTTTCTTTTAATTTTTTTTTGAAGGGGAGGTAATTAGGTTTATTTGTTTATTTTAATGGTGGTACTGGGGCTTGAACCCAGGACCTCCTGCATGCTAGGTATAGCTCTACCACTGAGCTATCCCCTTCCCCCCAGAAGCATCTTGATTGTTAAAATTCCCCACAGCTGCTTTTCTCATTGTGTTGTCACCACTTCAAACTAAAACATCTGAGCATTTTTACACTCTGCTTATCTCTTAAGCCTGAAGCGAGAGAGAAAACCCAAGATTTTGTTAAGTGTTCTTCCTTTGAATTAACATTTTAAGATTTAGTTTTGTTCTCTTTACTCTTCTGCCTTCTTTTGTCTTCAGTCTCATTAAGTCATGGCAGTCTTTTCTGAAAGGGAGATTTACCTTCCCTGAATATTGAAAAAGGCCCTCTGACTTGCAGTTGATTCGACAAATATTTGGGCGCCTTCTCTGTGCCAACTCCTGTTATAGCTGTGGAATTACAGCTCAACCAAGATAAAGCCCCTGCCCTCGTGCAGTTTACGATTTAGAAGGGGAGACAACATAAGAAAACAATGATTAAATGTCATAGGGGAGAAAGACAAGTGTGGTGACAAAAATAAAGCAGTGGAAGAGGATAGAGAAGGATGTGCTCTTGTTTTAAATAGGGCGATTGGCGGAGGCCACTATGTAGAAGGGAGGATTGGGCAGGAACCTGAATGCAGTGAGCCGGTCACCTTCACCCCACCCCCACCCTGTGCTTGTCTGATGTGGTGGCTCACCTTAAGCAGGTGGAGCACAGACAGGAGAACCACTGGTGAGGAGGAAACAGGGCTCCTGCTGGGAAACGCAGCACCCCTGGGGTGAGGAAAGCGGAGGCAGAGACAAGCATTGGGCCAGGGAGTAGAGATACAGGAGATCTTGATTAGAACACATTGGTTTTGGGTAATGACTTCACAGGAATTATTTAACAGTTAATTTAGAAAAACGATGTGACAGAAAAAGCCTTCTGTTTCTAGGATATTTGGAAAGAAGGGAACCAAAGACAAAGGAAAGAAGCCTATCTGCTCAACAAATGCTTAGAGCGCCAGGTATGGTGCTAGGTACCTAGTCCTTGCTCTCAAGGAGCTCGCAGTTTGTTGGAGTAAGTCAAAGGTCAAAGACAAATTGAGCTGGCTCTGCAGTTTGGCCTGGGGCTGGTTTGTCCAAAATGATCCTTACATGCCAATCTTGTCTCTCTGTTTTGGTTTTCTTATTTATAAAATGATGACCTGATAGGGTTATTGTGAAGATTCGGTTAATAAAACACCCAGGACAGCGCAGGATTCGTAGTGAACACCCTGTGAATTTTAGGGAGGAGCGGTAATGTGACAGTGGTGGACGCTAGGGAAGTGTTTTGGGCGGGACCTGAAATTGGCAAGAGCACACTGGCAGTGTGTGTAATTGTCCTTTTCCATAGATCTGTGAGGAACTTGCATATTTTCTTCATTTTCAAGATTTCTGCCCATCTGTGATTGATGCCATCTGAGAGCATGTACACAAGAGTGGAACTTTTGTTCTGATTTTTAAGAATCTTTGTGCTTATTTTGTTGGGGTTTTTTTATTGAAATGTAGTTGATTTATAATTTTAGTTTCAGATGTACAGCATAGTGATTCAGTTATACATACACATACATATATATTTTTTCTTTTCAAATTCTTTTCTATCATGTTATTACAAGAAACTGAATATAGTTCCCTGTGCTGTACAGTAGGTCCTTGTTGTTTACCTATTTTAGGTATAGTAAATTTATAGTATATATATATATATTTTTACATATAGTAAATGTATATATATAATTTTAAATATACTATATGTGATGTACCTGTTAATCCCAAACTCCTAATTTATCCCTCCCCCACCATCTCCTCACTACATGTGAAGTTAATGTCATGCAGATGCTTGCTAGCATCGTGTTTGCCACCTGGATATTTTGGTCTTTAATAAACTTTTGGATGTCCACTTCCAGTGCACAGTCTCGCAGTTGCCAGACTCTCAGGATATATTATATGTTA